AATTTTTTAGTTTTCGCCGTGTTACACCTCCTGACTTTATGGGATAACGGAATATAAAATAGTGCAAAAAACCCAAATAGAGGTTTTGACAAAATTTGACTATTTATATCCTTCCGGACCGGAAAAATTTGGTTATGCAATTTTGTTCGTGTTTGGCGGTAAACACGATAACGTAAGTACCATATCAGTTAGGTTGGCGGATTTTCATATAAATATTGTATATAAGTATTATATCAAATTTGTAGCTAGTCCGGTATCAACTTGTGAGCGATTTTTAAGAAGGATTTATACTTTTTTGAACGATTTCCGGTAACCGGAAGTTGTACTTTACTCTATTTCCGTGGGAACATTATAATTAGAATTATGTCAGTTAGGTAGACAAAATTTCATAAATAAGGATCTTATACTTGGATTATTTTCAATTTTTCGGCAACCTCCGATAACCGGAATTGGTGCTTTACTCTATTTCCGGTTTCTAAAATACCGATAACATAAGTACCGTTTCAATTAAGTGAACAAAATTGTATACATTATATTGATTCTGTCAAATTTTTAGTGATGGACGGTATTTCCGATTTCTTTCACGTAGATAAAGACTTGTTAACAATGTAATGTGACATGAAATTAGACTTAATTAGATGTTTCATTTACTTTTTAAAAATGTTTCAATATTTCCTTTATAAAAAGTACTAATCTTCCTACCAATTATGTATACATTGTCCAAGTCCATTTTGGTGGGCCATTCTTTTTTCTACTCGATTCTATTCTAATTTTAAAAAAAAAGTATTTTAAAAAAGAAAAACCTTTATTATATAAGTTTTTTGTAGTGTACTCCTGCTTTAGTTTCTTTTTCAGCTGTTAGCCACAACATTGGTACATCTCCAGTCAGACCCTACTTACACGGGTAGCTAAAAATAGAACGTACAATACCTTCAAATGTCCACTCTTCCCTTCGTCTCATCGTTTTTAAATCGGAAATACCCGTAAAACTCAACAAAAACGGAAATGACCGTTCGAGAAATTCCTCTTAGCCTCGCTCTTGGGCTGAAGACGTTAATACTAAGTACCTTGACGAGTGTCTGGCTAGCTTTGGGAAATGTAAATAAAAATCAACTTGGGCTAACACTGGACCAACGTTTTATGTTACAATTGGGAACATTAAAACACGTGAAGAAGAAAATGGGGTTGCCATGGAAACGGGTGACAAGTGGTGGAATCTCTCTTGGCAGCCTTGTATTAGTGAGTTGAAAGAATTTCAAAAGTTAGAGAAGTATAATCTGCATGCTTATAGTGGTGTAGGCTTCGATCATCTTGTAATCACACACGCAGTCACACACAACTAGACACACTGACACATACTCACAAACATACACACACGCGCGCGCACATATAAACACACACACACATATATATATATATATATATGTATATATATATATATATATATATATATATATATATATATATATATATATATATATATATATATATATATATATAAATTTATATATATATATATATATATATATATATATATATATATATATATATATATATATATGTCTGTGACTGTGTGTTCAATATTTCTATATTTTATTTTATTAAACCACATTTAAGTAAATAACCTAAAAGCTGGTGACAAATGAGAAGAAAATATCGGAGCCAAGCTGTCGTTAAGTGAAAGGAATAAGAGTGGTCGCCCCTGGCCCAGTCAGACATACTTGGCGAGAAATTCAAGAACATTTTCTCAAGTGCTTAGGCAGATTATTTCTGGGCCGCGGATTGATACCCTGCCGTTAAGAGGTTTAGAGCAATTAATTTAGGATTCATACGCCACCTAACGGCCTAATAAATTGAAAGAAGATCTTTTATCTCCAAGTGGTAAGAACTAATGTATTTCTGTGAATGCTTTCTTCGCATTTATAAATTAGAGTTCTAGATCTTGTACTGAGGTTATTGACTAGTAGATCTTAAGCGAAAATTACAACAGCTGTTCTTTTGTTGTTATGTTAATTACTGTCATATCAAATGGTTATTTTACTAAAGGCAATAGATCCATGTTTTCGATATCTTGGTATATAGACTCATTATAGAGCATCGAGCTTGGAAATGGCGTCTACTTTACTCCGTATTACAATAAAGATGTTGAATACGTCATCAGTTACAAATTTTTGAGTTCGTTATGGATCACAACCTCCCTCGTCAGATCATATTCATCTTCTACAACTGCCCTTATTAAAGGTCATGTTACAACCAGCTGTTATAAAAAATGGTATCAATTAAACCAGCTTATAAGTTTTCAATGATCCATTTATTCATTGAGTCTAGGATAGGTTAGCCTTCAGTCTCGTAACTCCATTGACGCCATTAAGTACTTAAAATACGTAATAACGAATTAACCATTCATTGAACTGGCAATTTTTTTTTTATATATTAGCATTTTTGTGTCTTGGTGTCATCCCCAGAGGCGTAGCGAGGGGCGGGGGGGGGGGGTACATATGTCCCCGGGTGCCGACCGTTGGGGGCGCCAAAATGAGTTTGAAAGAAAAATTAAATGCTCATTTTAGCTGCAGTTTTGCATTATAAATATAAAAATATATGGGGGGGGGCGCCAAATTGAAAGTTCGTCCCCGGGCGACGAGACGGGTCACTACGCCTCTGGTCATCCCCTCAATGGTGTCACCCGTTGCGGTCCGCCCCCCCTCCCCCGCCCCCGCCTCGCGACGCCTCTGTCATTATTATTCCTTTTGTGTATAGTCAGAAATACTAATAAAGCATGCTATTCAGACAGATAGCCTCGGTTTCAAATATGTTTTTTTTTATCTATGGAAGCTTTCATTTTGCTAACTTAATTAAACGGTTGAATGTTATCAAATTACCAAAACAATTGTATAAGACAACATTTTAGGCCCATGTCAACTTCTACTGACCAACACTGATCACCAAAACCTTCCGGATACAAAAATATGTGTACAGTATAACTGGCTTTCAGCTATAAACTGTGAGACAAGAAACAGGGTTTTACAGTATAATTGAAATTCATTAACTGTGTGACAGAATTTTTTTTTTACAGTACTAACTGTAGGCCAATGATTAACTGTAGGAAAACGAAAAACAGGTTTTACAGTATTGACTGAAGGAGAGTCTTACAGTAGCTGATGTCTGGCACATCATCTAGTACAGGTCACGTGGTCTAAAGACGTATGTAGATGAGTGACATTGTGTCCCTGATGTGACTATGCCAACCGTGTTTGACCAGCTCTCGAGGGAGACACCAGTGAATATTCACCCCCTCCCTCCCTCCTCCTCACCCTTTTATCAGTTTCCTACTTAAGACTGGCGCGTAAATTTGCTAAAAGCCTTTTACCCCAAGCGTTTGGCCACAACTATTCGACAAAAAATTTTGAAAATAATTTGAAAATGTTTCTGTGAAACTAAGTTTTGGTCCGAGCAACAGACCAGAAGTAGTTCAGCTATAAGTAGAAGTAGATATTTTAATCTATAAGTAGTTTTTTAACGTATAAGTAGATATTTTAAGCTATAAGTAGATATTTTAACGTATAAGTAGATATTTTAACCTATAAGTAGATATTTTAACGTATAAGTAGATATTTTAACCTATAAGTAGATATTTTAACCTATAAGTAGATATTTTAACCTATAAGTAGATATTTTAACGTATAAGTAGATTTTTTAACGTATAAGTAGATTTTTTAAACGTATAAGTAGATTTTTTAAACGTATAAGTAGATGTTTTAACCTATAAGTAGATTTTTTTAAACGCATAAGTAGATATTTTAACCTATAAGTAGATTTTTAACGTATAAGTAGTTATTTTAACGTATAAGGAGAATTTAACGTATAAGGAGAATTTTAACGTCTAGGTATTTTAACGTATGTAGATATTTTAACGTATAAATATATATTTTAAAGTATAAGTGGATATTTTAAATTATAGGTATATATGTCGATAATTGATTAACGTATGTAGATATTTTAACATGTAAGTAGATATTTCAATGTATAAGTATATATTTTAATGTATAAGTATATATGTTAACAAAGTTTTAAAACCATTTTAAAGTTTGATAAACATCGATAGAAAGAGAGTGTCTGATACAGAAAACTTCAAGGTCTAGAGTTTTTATGTAATGCTGGCTTGATTCATCTAACGAGGAAATATTCGATATATTTTTATGAATAACCGTTACATTTAAGAAAGACGAGTAGTTTGAAATAGATTGACCATTGGCCTGTGAATGACGTCAGCTTCATCATAAAAATGTAATGATTAGGGCGTCCAAACATTAAAATAATTCCCTAACACGGTGTTTTTAAAGGATTTCACCTTGTTAATTTTAACAAGGCGAAATGTTTCAATGCAATTTTTTAATCGTCAGGTTTTTTGTTTGAAGAATGCCTTGTCCTGCTCTGTTTATCTGTTGGTTACATAGTCTCTCACTGGCCGAATAGAAAGTTGTTGGCAGCCAATAGAATGTTGAGTTGTCAATTTTAAAAGAGCTAGGCAGCAAAGTAGATGTCTCGTGATTGGTTGATGTAAAAACCTGGCTCTAAAAATAGATGTTTCTAATCATAATTTTGTAATGGTAAAATGGTGATGTAAATATCACATGATAATCCCCAGTAAATCTATTACGATATTCCCTATTAATATTCGTCTAAATCTGTACCGATATTCCCCATTGATGCCGTGTAAATCTGTACCGATATTCCCCATTGATGCCGTGTAAATCTGTACCGATATTCCCCATTGATGCCGTGTAAATCTGTACCGATATTCCCCATTGATGCCGTGTAAATCTGTACCGATATTCCCCATTGATGCCGTGTAAATCTGTACCGATATTCCCCATTGATGCCGTGTAAATCTGTACCGATATTTCCCTATTGACAAGACAGCGTGTAAGCCTGTGTTGACGACCACCACGATCCATTACACCTCCCCCACTCCGTGAATGGCCACGATGTCCCCCACTGACAGCCGTTGATGAAACGAGGCGAGACTTTAATGGCAATGTGATGTCGACCCCGGGAAGAGATTCAATTTGATCTCTGATTGTTTTACTTGGCTGAGTCGTGTTGGTCCCTGCACGATCTGCCGGCCCTCTACAGGCGTTTGGTGGTGGAGCATGATCCACCATACAGCCAGTGTCATCAGGTGGTGGAGCATGATCCACCATACAGCCAGTGTCATCAGGTGGTGGAGCATGAACCACCATACGGCCAGTGTCATCAGACGACGGAGCATGATCCACCATACAGCCAGTGTCATCAGGTGGTGGAGCATGATCCACCATACAGCCAGTGTCATCAGGTGGTGGAGCATGAACCACCATACGGCCAGTGTCATCAGACGACGGAGCATGATCCACCATACAGCCAGTGTCATCAGGTGGTGGAGCATGATCCACCATACAGCCAGTGTCATCAGGTGGTGGAGCATGATCCACCATACAGCCAGTGTCATCAGGTGGTGGAGCATGAACCACCATACGGCCAGTGTCATCAGACGACGGAGCATGATCCACCATACAGCCAGTGGCATCAGACGGTGGAGCATGATCCACCATACAGCCAGTGGCATCAGACGGTGGAGCATGATCCACCATACAGCCAGTGTCATCAGGTGGTGGAGCATGATCCACCATACAGCCAGTGTCATCAGGTGGTGGAGCATGAACCACCATACAGCCAGTGTCAGAAGGTGGAGCATGATCCACCATACAGCCAGTGTCATCAGGTGGTGGAGCATGATCCACCACATAGTCCCAGCAGACGGCTAAACTAACAAAACGAGAATTCCCGAGGTTACAGTTCTTGTCACAATAGGAGAAGGAAAACCAAACGTGTATGTCGTGTGAGGGGAGGGGCTAGAGGAGGCGGACTGGAGGGGGGAGGGGGGAGGGACATATTTGCCTGATTAGCTTTATTAACCAGGAGGGGAAATAAAAACGCCTTCGTTTTCCCTGTTTTAAAATGTCGTTTGAATTGTCTCCCGTTGGACGTGGCTGACCTTAATGTGACAGTTAATAAGACAGACTTGCTCAACAGCTGGTTAGGCTCCGTCTCTGTTGGTCAGCCTGCTCACGGCAAGTCGGGCTCTGGGCTCAGTTGGCTGGTGCTTAAGTCAACGAATGCACAATCAGGTTACCCTTAGGAGATGTGTGTTTGGTTTCTTGTTCTCAAGACATTTGTGTTTGGTTTGATGTGTTTAAGACATTTGTGTTTGTTTGTTTTCCTCATGACATGTGTGTTTGGTTTGATGTGTTTAAGACGTGTGTGTTTGGTTTGATGTGTTTAAGACAATTGTGTTTGGTTTGATGTGTTTAAGACATGTGTGTTTGGTTTGATGTGTTTAAGACATTTGTGTTTGGTTTGATGTGTTTAAGACATTTGTGTTTGGTTTGATGTGTTTAAGACATTTGTGTTTGGTTTGATGTGTTTAAGACAATTGTGTTTGGTTTGATGTGTTTAAGACATTTGTGTTTGGTTTGATGTCATTAAGACATGTGTGTTTGGTTTGATGTGTTTAAGACAATTGTGTTTGGTTTGATGTGTTTAAGACATTTGTGTTTGGTTTGATGTAGACATTTGTGTTTGGTTTGATGTCATTAAGACATGTGTGTTTGGTTTGATGTCATTAAGGCATGTGTGTTTTGTTTGATGTATTTAAGACATGTGTGTTTGGTTTGATGTGTTTAAGACATGTGTGTTTGGTTTGATGTAGACATTTGTGTTTGGTTTGATGTCATTAAGACATGTGTGTTTAGTTTGATGTGTTTAAGACATGTGTGTTTGGTTTGATGTGTTTAAGACATTTGTGTTTGGTTTGATGTAGACATTTGTGTTTGGTTTGATGTAGACATTTATGTTTGGTTTGATGTGTTTAAGACATATGTGTTTGGTTTGATGTGTTTAAGACAATTGTGTTTGGTTTGATGTGTTTAAGACATTTGTGTTTGGTTTGATGTCGCAAATATCCACATGCCTCGCCAATCAACTGGCAATTCTAAATGTAATTTAAATTGTGGCCCACAAAAACACGCTAACAAATGGGTCACAGATTGATCCATAATTTCATCTCCTAAAGCCGCGCTACACGTGGATAAAAAAGTCACGAGTTTAAAATTTGTGGGATTTAAATGATTTGATCATCTCTCAAGGCAAATTTAAAAGAATCAACAGCAAACAAACGCACTGTGAAACAGACATGTTTTAAACGCCATAAGGGCAGCTCAAGATTTTTCAAAGTTTTCAACGTGTAATTGAGTACGTTACACAAAGTTTATTCTACCTAATGCACACGTTAATGCTAGGATTTTAACTGCTAAGATTAATGCTACAGTTTTGACTGGCAAGTTTAACGCGATGATTTTAACCTATGTATATAGGGCTTGAATATATGTTTTGGAATACTTTATACTTCTGTACTTTAGACATGATAGACTTGTCTCTAAGGAAAAGATTTCAAGTATGACTAACACTTTGTACAGATGACATAAACCAGCGTTACATAGGTTAGTACTGACCCATAAACCAGCGTGACATACAGTAGCACTGACCCATAAACCAGCGTGACATACAGTAGCACTGACTCATAAACCAGCGTGACATACAGTAGCACTGACCCATAAACCAGTAGCACTGACTCATAAACCAGCGTGACATACAGTAGCACTGACCCATAAACCAGTAGCACTGACTCATAAACCATCGTGACATACAGTAGCACTGACCCATAAACCAGCGTGACATACAGTAGCACTGACCCATAAACCAGTAGCACTGACCTATAAACCAGTGTGACATACAGTAGCACTGACCCATAAACCAGCGTGACATACAGTAGCATTGATCTATTAACTAGCGTGGCATAGGGTAGCACTGACTTATAAACCAGCGTGACATAAAGTAGCACTGACCCATAAACCAGTAGCACTGACCCATAAACCAGTAGCACTGACCTATAAACCAGCGTGACATACAGTAGCACTGACCAAAACACCCAGGGAATAATGTCGTGTGTAGAACAAAACGAAAACGCCATAAAAACCCGACCCTCCCTTCACGGTGCTAACCGGCACAACGTCTTCCGTCGGGTAGCCATTAAGTATCGTTTTACTGGGCTCTAAAAACCCTACGTCCTCCATTTTTATCTAAGCTCTTCATTTCCATGGCAACGAAAGATTTTCTTCATTTAAACTTTTTAAAAGTTAGCTTGTTTGAAAAAAAAGAATTTAAAATTTCGAAGGGTTTGAGCGAAGAAAAAAAAACTTTGGGATAGGACAAGCAATGAGGAATTTATTTGGACATTGATTCGAGGGTTCTTTTTCAAATGTCTATCTCAGGGCCACCAGCTTCTTTCTTTAGCAAGCTATGCGCTGGGTTTTCAAAATGGCGGAGTTGTGTTGTCTGCCAACACGGGCTATTCAAAAACACGACAACGACAAAGAAAGGAAAGAAAAAAAGCAAGACACCTCCGTGGGGAAATATAGAGAAAATGGTGCAAGCAGAATTGAAGAAGACACTTTTAGGGATTTTAAATTTACTTAGTTGGATGCCGTTGAGTGAATGGTCTTTGTGGAACTGGCGGAGGGGAAAGAAGAGGGAGAGGGTGGGGGCGTTTCAAGGAAGAGATAGAATTTCAACCTTTCTTCTAAGTCTCAGCGAACTACGGGGTTTCCCGGACAAGTTAACAAATCTGCTCTCTTCGGAATTTCCCGAACAAGTGCATAAAGTAGCGTTTTTTTGGAAATACCCGAAAATGTGAACTAGCCGGTTATACTACACGTTATATATTATAACTAGCATAATTAATATGAGGGTACATAAACATTCACACATACATGTTTGCAGATCTACATACATTATATATATATATATATATATATATATATATATATATATATATATATATATATATATATATATATATATATATATATATATATATATATATATAGGCCTATATATATATATGAATGTATATATAGGCCTATATATATATATGAATGTATATATATGTGTATATATATATATATATATATATATATATATATATATATATATATATATATATATATAACTTGTAAAAGTTGTTTTGCCCCTTTCTTAAATACTCGTATGTCTGTCGGGCGGTTATTGGAGTAGTTTTCTGAGACCTTAAGACGCCACTAATATCAGGGTAGAGGCTACCCAGCCTGCTCAAGATTTCAAACTGAAACCAATCAATTTCTTACCAATGCCAGCACGCTCTAAAACGTTTTCAATATCGAAAGTTAATCAAAGGAAGTCTTGAAGAAATAGGTTTCAAAACTAGCAAAGGGTCATACGGTATTTTTGTAGTTTTAAGCTTGGGCTATGGACGTATTTCGGTAACTAAATAAGACTGCGGTGAATAGGTTGATAAAAAACATGAAGAATTGTAAAATAATCTTGGCAAATTACTAGCATATTTGAAAATAAATATCAAGTTTTTTGACGAATGTATAGTTATAAGGATGGCAAGATAAACGTAATCATAAAAGTCATCATACTGTGTACACGACAACTTTTTTTATTTTTGGAGATACTTCCTGTTTATTGCGATAATCTCGTACAAAATGTAAGTTTGCAGGACACAATTGCTGACTCTTTGTTTTGTTTGGACACAATGGCTGACTCGTTGTTTTGTTTGGACACAATGGCTGACTCGTTGTTTTGTTTGGACACAATGGCTGACTCGTTGTTTTGTTTGGACACAATGGCTGACTCTTTGTTTTGTTTGGACACAATGGCTGACTCGTTGTTTTGTTTGGACACAATGGCTGACTCGTTGTTTTGTTTGGACACAATGGCTGACTCTTTGTTTTGTTTGGACTCAATGGCTGACTCGTTGTTTTGTTTGGACACAATGGCTGTTCCGTAAAAGCAAAAAGCACGAGATAACTGATAGCCAATTACATGGACTAATCCATCAGGACTGGGCATCGGTCTAAGTAGAGGGCCTGGTAGCAAGTGTTGTACCAATAGTGTTGTACCAAGATAAAGTGTTGTACCAAGATAAAGTGTTGTACCAAGATAAAGTGTTGTACCAAGATAAAATATTGTACCAAGATGTAGTAATGTACCAAGATAAAGTGTTGTACCAAGATAAAGTGTTGTACCAAGATATAGTGTTGTACCAAGATATAGTGTTGTACCAAGATAAAGTGTTGTACCAATATAAAGTGTTGTACCAAGATAAAGTGTTGTACCAAGATAAAGTGTTGTACCAAGATAAAGTGTTGTACCAATATAAAGTGTTGTACCAAGATAAAGTGTTGCACCAAGATAAAGTGTTGTACCAAGATAAAGTGTTGTACCAAGAGAAAGTGTTGTACCAAGATAAAGTGTTGTATCAAGATAAAGTGTTGTACCAAGATAAAGTGGTGTACCAAGATAAAGTGTTGTACCAATATAAAGTGTTGTACCAATATATAGTGTTGTACCAAGATAAAGTGTTGTACCAAGATAAAGTGTTGTACCAAGATAAAGTGTTGTACCAAGATAAAGTGTTGTACCAAGATAAAGTGTTGTATCAAGATAAAATGTTGTACCAAGATAAAGTGTTGTACCAAGATAAAATGTTGTACCAAGATAAAGTGTTGTATCAAGATAAAATGTTGTACCAAGATAAAGTGTTGTACCAAGATAAAGTGTTGTACCAAGATAAAGTGTTGTACCAAGATAAAGTATTGTACCTAAATAGTTTGTAGCATGTCCACACAAAGTCTTGTATTAAAATATAAATTTAAAACTTAAGCTTAAAATGTCACCAATGGTAAAAAAAAAAACGTGTTGATCTGATAGAGATTAGCGCAAACAAATGTAATGTTTGTTTCATTCGATCAGAACTCTTCTGTCTTTATGATTAGAAATTTTCTTAAAGCCTAGCGAGCTTTGAAATAAAACTAGATATGAATAAAAACAAACATAAGCTAAATTAATTCGACATAAGTAAATTTGATGCTTTTTAACACGTCGTAAAAATTTACGATTTTGAAAAAAAAAAATCCATAAATATAATCTCCATGATTTTTAAAAAAAAACTAGAACACGCAAGTGAAACCAAATAGATTTTAGTTTCAGTGAGTAGTTATGGGTAGATGTTACACTCTATATCGCTCAACACAGTGGCAATTAATGGTGTCACCCCCCTCCCACCTTCAGAGGCGTAGCAAGCCTTCCCGGGGACAAAGTTTCGAATTTTTTATTTACAGCCCCCCTCCCCTCAAACTTTCGATTTGCACCCCCCTCAAGTTTTTCTCTATATATTTTGCTATTTTTTGCTTTGGTGTCACCCCCTAAATGGTGTCACCCGTTGCGGTCCGCACCCCCGCCCCTCCCCCCTCGCTACACCTGTGGCTCAACACAATTTGAGTCACACTAATACAAAAGGAACATATTTCAACTCGCTGTAAACAGATAGGTCAAGCTAAGTTTTATTGTCCTAACGTTTCATTCAGTAAGACATCTATGAATGAGATTTTTTTCATTTTTTTTACCACGTTTCGCTCCTCACCCCTCTTGGGTCGACACCCGCCCAGTGTTTCTTCCAGACTTTTTTCTCCGGGGGGGGGGGGGGGCACTTGAAATTTTCGTGGAGGGAGGCGGTAGACTTTCTTCGGAGGGGGGCGGACACTGTTAAAAGTATATATTTTCTATATAAATTGTATAAATTTCATTTCGTTCGGGGGGGGGGGGGGGCGGTAGAAACTCTGCACCCGCCCCACCCGCCCAACCCAGCTACGCCTCTGATGTAAGGCAACATGAAAAGTCAACAATTTCATCTTGCCCCTCTAGTAGCCACCATAGACCAACCACAAACCTTCCAACACGTTGTGGTATAAAGAGGAGAGAATCGGTCTATGGTCAAACACATGCACGATAAACAATGGATGAAGTTGACGCAATCAATTCCAGCATGTGGCACTGCCAATCTGCTCTGCTTGGTCCCAGCATCATGGGTGCCATTTTCATAGACGTGAATAAAATATGAGGCGCTAAAAGGCGACGGTTATTTTATTGCTTTGATGACCTATGAATCATAAAACTGTGGACACAATAGCGGCGCTGCGTTTGGGCTGTCTCAAAGTGGAGTTTCTCACACCTGTGTTTGGTTATGGTAGACAGTAGATGTTAGCTGGCTAAAGGTGGACATGTCATGGTAGACACTAGATGGTAGCTGGTTATGTTATGGTAGACGGTAGATGGTAGCTGGCTAAAGGTGGACATGTCATGGTAGACAGTAGATGGTAGCTGGCTAAAGGTGGACATGTCATGGTAGACAGTAGATGGTAGCTGGCTAAAGGTGGACATGTCTAAAACTGGTAAATGTCGACTGCATAGTGTGAGCCTACAAGAAAAGTTATATCGCTAGCACCACAGTGTTATGACGCTAGCACCACAGTGTTATGACGCTAGCACCACAGTGTTATGACGCTAGCACCACAGTGTTATGACGCTAGCACCAGTGCTATGACGCTAGCACCACAGTGTTATGACGCTAGCACCACAGTGTTATGACGCTAGCACCACAGTGTTATGACGCTAGCACCACAGTGTTATGACGCTAGCACCAGTGCTATGACGCTAGCACCACAGCGTTATGATACTAGCACCACCCACAATGTTATGACGCTAGCACCACAGTGTTATGATACTAGCACTACAGTGTTATGACGCTAGCACCACAGATTTATGATACTAGCACCACAGTGTTATGACGCTAGCACCAGTGCTATGACGCTAGCACTACAGTGTTATGACGCTAGCACCACAGTGTTATGACGCTAGCACCACAGTGTTATGACGCTAGCACCAGTGCTATGACGCTAGCACCACAGCGTTATGATACTAGCACCACCCACAATGTTATGACGCTAGCACCACAGTGTTATGACGCTAGCACCACAGTGTTATGACGCTAGCACCAGTGCTATGACGCTAGCACCACAGCGTTATGATACTAGCACCACCCACAATGTTATGACGCTAGCACCACAGTGTTATGATACTAGCACTACAGTGTTATGACGCTAGCACCACAGATTTATGATACTAGCACCACAGTGTTATGACGCTAGCACCAGTGCTATGACGCTAGCACCACAGTGTTATGACGCTAGCACCACAGTGTTATGACGCTAGCACCAGTGCTATGACGCTAGCACCACAGCGTTATGATACTAGCACCACCCACAATGTTATGACGCTAGCACCACAGTGTTATGACGCTAGCACCACAGTGTTATGACGCTAGCACCACAGTGTTATGACGCTAGCACCACAGATTTATGATACTAGCACCACAGTGTTATGACGCTAGCACCAGTGCTATGACGCTAGCACCACAGCGTTATGATACTAGCACCACCCACAGTGTTTTGACGCTAGCACCACAGTGTTTTGACGCTAGCACCACAGTGTTATGACGCTAACACCACAGTGTTTTGACGCTAGCACCACAGTGTTATGACTAGCCCCTCCCCCACACAGTAACGATGATCACGAGGTTAACAATATTTACACATTCCTTGAGTTTCTCCTCAATCGTCCTCTGGAAACTGCATCCACTAGATATATAGTAAACATTTGAAGAAATGCCCCGTCTATTTGATCAATATAAAGACACGAATCTAGACAATGATATTTTTATTATAATGTTGTATTGGCAGCGTTATGACTTTTCAATTCTGTTTTCTGGCCGTTAGTAAATGTCGCCCCACTCGTTTCAAGAGCAGATCACGTCACAACATTGCCACATAAAACTTCAGAAGCAGCAGTTAACCTTTGAACCTGCCATGTGCACAGGGTGTTTCTACATGTCAAAGGTCAGCCCATCAGCTTGTTGGAGGTCCCATCACACCAGATGAGTTAGTACCCACTTGCTGTTAAACTTTCACAGCCAAAATGGTGTTAGTACCCACTTGCTGTTAAACTTTCACAGCCAAAATGGTGTTAGTACCCACTTGCTGTTAAACTTTCACAGCCAAAATGGTGTTAGTACCCACTTGCTGTTAAACTTTCACAGCCAAAATGGTGTTAGTACCCACTTGCTGTTAAACTTTCACAGCCAAAATGGTGATGGAAAACTCGACACATTTTTTTTACTTTTTGGGCATTGATTGAGAATTAGAAGAAAAACTAAAGAAAAGTAAGGATGGAGAAAAAAAATCTTTAAGTAAGAATAAAAAATAAATAGGAAATTCTAGGAGCCTTGAATCTTTTTTATTCGTGTAAAATCTTAACGAAGTCACGATTGGATTGAGTGTGTTAAAGATACTTTTCCCCCAGAGGCGTAGCGACCCTTCCCGGCGCCCGGGGACAAACTTTCAATTTGGCGCCCCCTCGGGAGCAAATTTTCGATTTGCACCCCCCCCCCCTCGAACTTTTCATTTGCACCCCCCCCTCAAATTTTCGATTTGCACCCCCCCTTCAAACTTTCAATTTGGCGCCCCCCCCCTAAGGTCGGCGCCCGGGGACATATGTCGTCCCCCCCCCCCCCTCGCTACGCTACTGTTTTCCCCTCTTTAAAATGGGTAATTTAAATAGAAATGTGATTAGATATTTCTAAAGGAAATGTTTGAATACGCTTTCAATGAAAGACAATCACACCTCTGTCTGTCTTCACTACAGATTGTCTCCAGGAGACCAGGGACTGGCAGAAGACATTTTGATTCAAACTTTTAAAATGTATCACTAGAACTACTTGAGGCCAGCAACGGGAAACATAGCTGACCTGGGACAGATCAGTGGGTAGATACAACGCTAAACAAAACCAACGAGAGAACTGGGGGTGGGGACATGGGGAGGGGGGTGGGGGGGGGGGGGGAAACATCTGATGGTATCAGTCACCCCTACAGCCGCTGACCACGAGACAGACACTGATGACACGTTCAATCATAAAAAATGCTTGTTCAATCTACAATCTTGTACAATCAATCATCTATGAGTTTGTTGCTCCTATCAGATCAAGGAAGGATGATTGAATATACATCGAGTAATCTGATTGGTTTAGAAAACCAAATTATGTCTAGAGGGCCAAGGGCGGACTACTCGGGGTGTTTAGTTTGATGAGGGATATAAACATTTGTATCAGGATAGCAGTCATAGGCCAAGTAAACCTTTGTATCAGAATAGCAGTCATAGGCCAAGTAAACATTCGTCATTTGATATATCGGTGTGTGGTGTGTGTTTGTGGTCATGTGATATATCTGGTGTGGTGTGTGGCTGTGTTCATGTGATATATCTGGTGTGGTGTGTGGTTGTGGTCATGTGATATATCTGGTGTGGTGTGTGGTTGTGGTCAAGTGATATTGGTGTGTGGCTGTGGTCATGTGATATATCTGGTGTGGTGTGTGTTTGTGGTCAAGTGATATATCTGGTGTGGTGTGTGGCTGTGGTCATGTGATATATCTGGTGTGGTATGTGGCTGTGGTCATGTGATATATCTGGTGTGGTGTGTGTTTGTGTTCATGTGATATATCTGGTGTGGTGTGTGGTTGTGTTCATGTGATATATCTGGTGTGGTGTGTGGTTGTGTTCATGTGATATATCTGGTGTGGTGTGTGGTTGTGTTCATGTGATATATCTGGTGTGGTGTGTGGTTGTGTTCATGTGATATATCTGGTGTGGTGTGTGGTTGTGTTCATGTGATATATCTGGTGTGGTGTGTGGTTGTGTTCATGTGATATATCTGGTGTGGTGTGTGGTTGTGTTCATGTGATATATCTGGTGTGGTGTGTGGTTGTGTTCATGTGATATATCTGGTGTGGCTGTGTTCATGTGATATATCTGGAGTGGTGTGTGTTTGTGTTCATGTGATATATCTGGTGTGGTGTGTGGTTGTGTTCATGTGATATATCTGGTGTGGTGTGTGGTTGTGTTCATGTGATATATCTGGTGTGGTGTGTGGCTGTATTCAAGTGATACAACTGGTTTTGGCAACATCACATTTGCATCAGATCTCGTGTTATTTAGCACGAGAGTTCGTCCCACACATAGACACGGACGTGCAACAGGTGATACGGGTCTGTTACACGCTGGAACTCTGGATGTGTCGTGGTCATCTCTGGAACTCTGGATGTGTGGTGGTCATCTCTGGAACTCTGGATGTGTGGTGGTCATCTCTGGAACTCTGGATGTGTGGTGGTCATCTCTGGAACTCTGGATGTGTGGTGGTCATCTCTGGAACTCTGGATGTGTGGTGGTCATCTCTGGAACTCTGGATGTGTGGTGGTCATCTCTGGAACTCTGGATGTGTGGTGGTCATCTCTGGAACTCTGGATGTGTGGTGGTCATCTCTGGAACTCTGGATGTGTGGTGGTCATCTCTGGAACTCTGGATGTGTGGTGGTCATCTCTGGAACTCTGGATGTGTGGTGGTCATCTCTGGAACTCTAGATGTGTGGTGGTCATCTCTGGAACTCTAGATGTGTGGTGGTCATCTCTGGAACTCTGGATGTGTGGTGGTCATCTCTGGAACTCCGAGAGATAGGGGACCACAGGCTGGGACACACGGGCCATTAGCTAGGACATACGGCCCACTAGCTAGGACAACGGGCCACTAGCTAGGACAGAAATAACGGGCCACTAGCTAGGACAGAAATAACGGCCCACTAGCTAGGACAGAAATAACGGGCCACTAGCTAGGACAGAAATAACGGGCCACTAGCTAGGACAGAAATAACGGGCCACTAGCTAGGACAGAAATAACGGCCCACTAGCTAGGACAACGGGCCACTAGCTAGGACAGCGGGCCACTAGCTAGGACAGAAATAACGGGCCACTAGCTAGGACAGAAATAACGGGCCACTAGCTAGGACAGAAATAACGGCCCACTAGCTAGGACAACGGGCCACTAGCTAGGACAGCGGGCCACTAGCTAGGACAGAAATAACGGGTCACTAGCTAGGACAGAGATAACGGGCCACTAGCTAGGACATAAATAACGGGCCACTAGCTAGGACATAAATAACGGGCCACTAGGTAGGACTGAAATAACGGGCCACTAGCTAGGATGGGCCACTAGCTGGACAGAAATAACGGCCCACTAGCTAGGACAACGGGCCACTAGCTAGGACAACGGGCCACTAGCTAGGACGGAAATAACGGGCCACTAGCTAGGACAACGGGCCACTAGCTAGGACAACGGGCCACTAGCTAGGACAGAAATAACGGGCCACTGGCTAGGACAGAAATAACGGGCCGCTAGCTAGAACAGCGGGCCACTAGCTAGGACAGAAATAACGGGTCACTAGCTAGGACAACGGGCCACTAGCTAGGACAACGGGCCACTAGCTAGGACAGAAATAACGGGCCACTGGCTAGGACAGAAATAACGGGCCACTAGCTAGAACAGCGGGCCACTAGCTAGGACAGAAATAACGGGTCACTAGCTAGGACAACGGGCCACTAGCTAGGACAACGGGCCACTAGCTAGGACAGAAACAACGGGCCACTGGCTAGGACGGAAATAACGGGCCACTAGCTAGGACAACGGGCCACTAGCTGGGACAGAAATAACGGGCCACTAGCTAGGACAGAAATAACGGGTCACTAGCTAGGATATGCGTGATTGACGTTGAAGACGTGTCATTTGAGTGGGTTTCGTGTGGATGTTGGTGTGTGTGTGTTAAATCATAGCCTCAAGTTAACATATTATTATGAACTAGACGTTTGGTGTTAGCAGTCGTCTTCTCTATCGCCGTCCGTCATGAACTAGACGTGTGGTGTTAGCAGTCGTCTTCTCTATCGCCGTCCGCCATGAACTAGACGTGTGGTGTTAGCAGTCGTCTTCTCTATCACCGTCCGTCAACATGGAAAAGCTGATTTATTCCACTACCAACAAGAAATCAAATCGTGGCTTAATTAATTGCTTTAACCTTACGTTAATTGTTAACGTAAAGACAGTGAATCCATTTACAGAAGAAAGTGTAACAATTGTTTGCTATGTTAGATGCGCTAATTCTCTGGTCAAAGTTTCAAATGCAACAAAAACAGAACCATTTACATAATGGCAGTTCAATAAATGTAGCAGTAAAACAAACAAACAATTTTTTTTCCAATAAAACTGCATCAATTATGTCAATAAAACAAGGCCTCATCACAAATGCCACATTTATTCCTGCTATCATTTTATTGCTTTCTTCTGTATTGTAGAAGTTAAAGATTGTAGGACTTTAGCCAAGTCAAACAAAGTAGGAATTTAGTCCAATTTAAACATTGTAGGGATCAAGCTAGAAAGTTAAACATTGAAGGCGTATAATTTAGTTAAACTTTGTAGGACTCTAGCTAAGTAAGACAAATAAATAATTTAAAAAATTTTACTAGCTATTGAACATGCAAACGTTAAGGACAGTTACAACTGGTTTAGAACCGAGTTTCGCCAAACCACCTTCTCGGCTGCTCACGCCAATCTTTACCTGCTTAAGCTAATCTTTACCTACTCACATTAATCTTTACATGCTCACGCTAATCTTTACCTGCTCACTCTAATCTTTACATACTGGTGGTAATCCACGCTAATCTTTACCTGCTTAAGCTAATCTTTACCTACTCACATTAATCTTTACATGCTCACGCTAATCTTTACCTGCTCACGCTAATCTTTACCTGCTCACGGTGACTGGAACAGTGTGATCTAGCACCATTATTAGGCCTAATAAATAACATTAGTAATAAGTCACATTACTAATAACCCTAATCTGCAAATACTGACCCGGTCGGTGCACCATACTTTCTCCCTAAACTCGCTCCCAGCTCGACAGTCCGGTGTCTAGTGAAGCAAGTGTGTCCTGTAACTTCTCTCATAACGCTGGCCAGTTTGGTCTCAAATCTTACGCTCACATTACAAAGCTGGCTAACAATTGGTGAACTTTCCAAGTCTGTCATGTGAACATGGGATGAAGCCTGGATCTTTTAGACACACGTTTTCATGGTAAGTTTTAATGATTTTAATTACGTGTCCTATACATTGTTCAACCAGAATACGAGAATTTGTTCGACGCACGGGAATTTATTTATGTCAAATAAATCCAAAAATGTATAACCTTTTGATGTTCATTTAATTAAACGATCTTAACACGTTTATTAGCAATCGAGTTTTTAATTTATTTTTTAAAATACAGCTGTAGTCTCATAGAAACAACAAATAAACACGGCGTTCTTTCATTTCGTTTATCTTTATGTAAGTTTTAAATAACGCAGACGAAATAATGAAACATTGCGAACCTTGACTTGAATGTCTTTTGATCTGTATCTTCTCACACACACACAGGCGCTCCATACACACACAAACACACACACACACACATACACAGACGCTACACACACAAACACAGGCGCTCCATACACACATACACACACAAACACACACACACATATATACACAGACGCTCCACACACAAACACAGACGCTTCTCACACACACACACAAATACAGACTCTACACACACACAAATTTAGACGCTACACTCACACAAACACAGACGCTACACACCCACAAACACAGACGCTACACACACATACACACACACAAACACAGACGCTACACACAAACACAGACGCTACACACAAAAACACAGACGCTACACACATACACAGACACTACACACATACACATACGCTACACACACAAACACATGCACCACACATACACACAGCCATACAACGATAAACGTTCTGACGTCAAATATTTTTTGTTTCTTTCAGCTACTTTAACCACCATTCAATGCATACGGTAAAAGTTGAGCTTGAATGACCACATAAACTTAGAATGCTAACAGTACTCGACAAATTTCAAAGATTCGGGTAAACAACTGAAGAGAGTAGCCACACTTGCCAGACATTTATTTGTGAGGACGTTGAAGCCACGTGCTACTGGACAACTCGCTACAACTATGTGAGCACTTTGTTTGACGGCGCTGGACAACTGCTCACCACGATGGGTGTAACTGGTGTCATGTACTCACCATCAACCTGAACTATGTCCCCCACAGCAGCAAGCCATGGGTCCATGTGTAGGATTATTCTAATACGTCTGTTGCTCTTTCTGGGGATCTTTCTCAATGTCTTCATGGACTCTGTTGGTTTAAGTGAGGTCGGGGGTAAGTGTTTTCTTCTCATGGATTTAACTAGACAGGTTTTGTTTTCATCCATGTTTTTCTCTAATCTGTTGTTTCATGTCAAGTCGGAGGTAAGTTCGTGTTTGGTAGATGTTTCTATACATGTTTGATTTCAAACACTTTTACAATAGACCAAGATTTTATAGCTATAAGAAACTAGACTATAGTTATCAAACTTTTTAACTGCTGTGTGCAGTTTGTTTCTTGCATATCTTTGGGTTTGTTTGTTTTTTATGGGGGGGGGGGGGGGGGGAGGGAATGGAGGGGGTTGCATGCCATTATATTTCAGGCACGTTTTTAACTACTTGGTAGCTTAAAGCTGTAACGAAATGTCTACAGCAATCTTTTTACCCAATTCTTATTACAACTGATATTTGGGGATATAATAAAATTATATTTCTAATTACTAGTTTAATCAAGTGCCTATTTCATCTATGGAGATGAAATAAGTATTGAAATAAGTATTTGTTTCTAGATTCTAAGTCTATGACTTGTTCATAGACATCAATAAAACAAATATAAAAACTTTATAGTAATTAGTTTTTAAATGCACTCAACATTAAAAATAAAAACTTTCTTTAATCAAGGCATTCATCGCTCAATAGATCTTTGACATCTTTTAGCGACGAAAACTTTTATTAATGGGAGCGCTCTTGTTTTTTTTTAAATTAATTTTCAGTGTAATAAAGGGTAATTATTATAATTTTTTTTTTTTTTTTGTCATTCTTACGACACCCCCAACTTCTAAAAACATTTGCTTTAAGACCCGATCAGTAACTTCCTATCTCTGAAAGACAATTCTCTGCCCCTTCGTAGTCTACGGTAGGCTGACTGATGAAGCAATCACTTATGTATATCTTGTTCTATGGCATTTTATTAATTTAGTACGCTTTTAATTGCATTTTAATGACGAATTAGACTAGAAAACAGATTTTCTTGCATTGTCATTGAAACGAATGTATCTGAAAAGTTAAATCGCTGCATCAAAAGTGGGTTAAAACTTAACTACAAGATTTGTCACGAACAAACACACATTAAAAAATATACAGACATTTTGAACTAAATAAAAGATTATAATTTTTAAAAATCATAAAAAACGTTTTAATAACAAGCTTTTATGTAATAATGCCCTAAAAAGTAGAAAATAAATTATACACTACTATTTACATAACTATAAAGAAAAGCGTGGGTCTCTTCCTAAATATTAGACACTACTATTTAAATTACTATAAAGAAAAGCGTGGGTCACTTTAGTTTCTATTGGATACCTTTACTAATATTTAGGAAGAGACCAGAGGCGTAGCGACCCTACCCGGCGCCCGGTGACAAACTTTCAATTTTGCGCCCCTCTCGGGAGCAAATTTTCAATTTGCACCCCCACCCCAATCAAACTTTCAATTTGCACCCCCCTTCAAACTATTTATAATGCAAAAATTTAGCTAAAATGACATTTTAATCTGTTTATACAACCCATTTTGGCGCCCCCTAAGATCGGCGCCCGGGGACATATGTACCCCCCTGCCCCCCCCCCCCCCCCCCTCATCGCTACGCCTCTGGAAGAGACCCACGCTTTTCATTATAGTAATTTAAATAGTAGTGTCTAATAAAACTGCCTACTAATTCGGTCCAAATTTTAATTAATTCATAAAAAATTAATTAGGCATCCAATTAAGTCAAATTTAATATCACAATTCATTGTCTTCGTGTCTTGAGCCACGTACAAATTACGATCCCTATATGTCAGTTAGAAGTGTCCGAATTTTCGCTCCGGCGTTTCGATCTAGACTGACGACTGACGAAGACAGAGAAAGTGAGTTAAATAAAAGCTTGTAAAAATTAAAAGGTAAAGTAAAGTTGTTAGACTACTAGCTTGTCTAGAGACATCAATAAAGTATATAGACTACTAGCTTGTAAATAGACACCAATAAAGTTGGTAGACTACTGGCTTGTCTATAGACATCAATAAAGTTGGTAGACTACTAGCTTGTATATAGACACCAATAAAGTTGGTAGACTACTGGCTTGTCTATAGACATCAATAAAATTGTTAGACTACTAGCTTGTCTATAGACATCAATAAAGTTGGTTTTCTAGAAACTAAGTTTAAATATTTGAATCTAACACTAAAAAGTAGATGTCTAACATGCTCCCAACTGAAGAAGAATGGGCAAACAAATAACGAGGTTACAATACGTAACTGCATTCGTCTTTGTTAACAGGGTGAGATGGAGGGGGTGGGGGTCACCAGAATAAGATTGTAGGATTGATTCTAAGATTGTAGGATTGATTCTAAGATTGTAGGATTGATTCCGACCAAGTTAAAACATAAAAAAACACACATTGTTCACATTCTCACTTTATTTGCTATCAATTGCGTGATGCGTGAAACGGTAAATGAGAGCTTCTTCGTTGTTTATTCAAAACAAGCTAAGTAAATCAGTTTGTTGTGCAATTCGATATTAGAGAAAAGCTAAAGATGTTTTTAAAACTTTTCTTTACTGTCAGTCAGTCTGTCAGTCAGTCAGTCAGTCAGTCAGTCAGTCAGTCAGTCAGTCAGTCAGTCAGTCTGTCAGTCTGTCAGTCTGTCAGTCTGTCAGTCTGTCTGTCTGTCAGTCTGTCAGTCTGTCAGTCTGTCAGTCTGTCTGTCTGTCAGCCTGTCGGTCTGTCAGTCTGTCAGTCTTACATCTTACTTGTGTTGTTGGAATCGTATGTGTCATAAAATATTCAAATCAGCAGCAGATCAGTGTTATAATCTGCTTCAATCCTCACTTAACTACATGAATTATGTATCACTGGTGTTGTGATGATTATAGGGAGGGGGGGGGGGGGGTTGCATCAAATTTCTACTTTTAAAAGAATGATTTTAATGTAGAAAACTTACTTGATGTACTAGATTGTGTGGGCCTCTGGAAAATGGTTTTGGTTGTGATATAGATGACGTCATCTTCAAAATACACGCATCGAAGTCTTTAAATGTCGAAACAAACTAAACATACAGTGTTGACACGTTTAAGATGGGCATTTTCAGTCTGAGCTAATACGTTAGAGGACTTATATATATATATATATATATGAAAGAGATAATGGTACCCTTAAGTACCCCATGGGATAGCAGTTGGCCTAACGACGCCACTGATTACAACGACCACATTTTGCCACATCTCAAACTAAAGTGTTGTCGCTTCACCCATCTGTCACCCATCAGTCGTGTGATGTCAGACACCGTGCGGCGTCAAAACGGCCCCATCAATACGACCCCGACAAATCGGCCCCGACATAAGAGCCCCGTCAAATCGACTTCGTCAAAAGGGCCAGCGACATATGGACCCCGTCATATAAGCTGCCGACAAATAGGCTCCCGTCATATAGGCTCCCGACAGAAGGGCTCCAGTCAATAAGGCTCCCCACATTTAGTTTTTCGACAAAACGGCCCCCGTCATTACGACTCCCGATACATAGGCTCCCGTCATTTTTGGCTCACGACAAATAGGCTCTTGTCAATTTGACTCCCGACAAAAGGACCACCGACAATACGGTTTTTGTAGAGACTAAGTTTCCCAGCAAAACGGTCTCATTGAATATGACACCTGCCAGTGGGACCTCTCCATCAATATTCTTTAGAGTTAGCATATCCAACACTCTTTAGTAATACAACGTATGCATCTCTTGTTCGGCAGGCCTTATTTTTATAATAGCTTATCTATTATAAGAAATAGTATGTTTTAATTTAAGGGTAATCTATCTATGACATCCATGAGTGAGTCGATTATAGGCTGTTCCAACTCAGTGTGTGGAGAGAGGGGTTCACGCTGTACCTTCCTACCTGCAGTATGCTTGTAGTTATAAAAAAAAATGTTATCCTGTAAACATAATTTATATCATACATTTACACTTCAGTGCTCACTTTTAAGCAACAGATCTTTTCTGTTGTAAATTAAACGTTATCACAATTTTAGAATTGGTGGACTTTAGCTGTTAAGGACTCGATTTGTTTGTGAATTGATGTTGGTTCATGAAAAACAATTTCATGCAGGCATTAAAAAGAGATTATAGTGGTAGTGGATGTAGGAAAAAATGGTTACTTTTATGCCAATAGTGGTAATACGATTCATTTGTCTGGAGCCAATATGTTGGGAGTCATTTTGTCGGAAGCCAATAAATCGGGAGCCCTTTTGTCGGTAGCCAATATGTCGTGAGTCTATTTGCCAATATGTCGGGAGCCGCTTTGTCGGGAGCCATTATGTCCTAAGCCTATTTGTCGGGAACCAATATGTCGGGAGTTCATTTTTCGGGATCCTAAATGTCGGGAGCCCATTTGTCTGGAGCCTATTTGTCGCACGTCATTAAGACGGGAGCCAATAAGTCAGGGCCCTTATGACGTCGGGGGTCGATTTGACGGGATCATATTAACGGGGCCGTTTTGACGGGGCCGATCTGTCGCGGGCCGTTTTGACGGGGCCGATTTGTCCCGGGCCGTTTTGGAGGTGCACCGTCAGACACAGCAGAGCGATGGCTGCATGAACTCTTGCACAACTTCACATCTGCCATGACAATCGTGCTGGAACCTGCTACGTTAGACACTACAATCAACTCTGTCAGACAAAATAACATTTTCGAATCTTTGTTTTGGCTCATTGGTCTGACCTCAAGAGATGTCAGCTAAATGACATGACATCAAGCACTGAGATCATGTACATCGTTTGGTTGCTGTCCATTTGTCTATCACAGTCTTCATCGTTTGGTTGCTGTCCATTTGTCTAACATTTGGTTTCTGACGTTGAGATATAAACCTAATGGTAATGTAGTGATGTGAGAAGTGTTGCACTGAGCATTTTGATACATTTTACATGTCAACGATAATACTTAGATCATATTAGGGGCTGTGTAATGCTAATGTTTAGATCATATTAGGTGCTGTTTAATGCTAATGTTTAGATCATATTAGGGGCTGTGTAATGCTAATGTTTAGATCGGATTAGGGG